GTATGGAGCGCGTATATAAAGGTATTTCTCGCTCATTTCCCAAAAATGCGATTTCGAAAAATCACTTTATTATATACCGTTGTATTTAGCATAAAATGTTCTTAAATTCACGTCCTTATAAAAATTTAAAAATTTTTGAAAATTAGCGGAGGTGAGGGGGGATGCTCGAAAATATAACATTTTTGAAAAATTTGAATGCGTTGTAAAGTACACTTGCAGTCGTATAACTTTTGTTTAAAACTTTTTTTGATATCTTTAACGATTTAGATGATATTTATTCAGAAATAAAAAAATCGATTTTTTTCAAGGGGTAATTTCACTCCATTAAGGGGGGAACCTGATGTAGCGGGTAAAAAAAATCGATTTTTTTTAAATATAAATCATTAGTATTATATCTAAAAAATATATTCCCATAGCCCCAGATTGAAATTTTAGCGATACTATAGACGATTTTATATGCGCGTAAGGCAAAAGAGCACATAACGTGTCTCTCTGCTCGATCTCTTTTATAACAAAGTTTTACTATGAACCAAATTACTAGATTATATCAAACAAACATTTTCTGATGTGTATACAATATACCTCCGTATTTTGTACGGATACGTGTTTATAAGTTGTGTGAGTGATGTTGACATGATGGAGCGTGACTTTATCTCAGATCATTTTTTAGTTAGTTGTGAAATTCTATCCTGTGCGAAAGTTTTTAAATATTAAAATATCCAAAAGGAACTAAAGAAGAATCTTATCGTCCAGATTACGTAAAAGAAAATTTCGCAGTAATGAAAAACTGCATAAGAATTGTCCACTCAGGACCCGATTGATGTAAATTTGGCGTATTGCTGAGATCGCAGATAAACAGGAAGAATTCGATCACTCCCCTCCACTTCATGCAGATGTACAGAAACATATACTGTTCATTTATAAAGATTTATTAAGAAAAGAAAACATCTTTTAAAAAGATGTTTAAGCAGGCACATTCAAAATGCCAACAAGAGTTTCAATTCCATCGTATGGCGTTTAGCTTCTAAACACTTGCATTCTGGCATAAAAATTATTAAGATCGTGATCTATATTACTGCAGGTATTTTTAATGAAGGCTGTTATGCTATTTTAAAAATTATGAATACATTTAACATAAAAGTCGGACAGCAATGTAAGTTTTTTGCCAATCTGGAATGCGAAGCGGACGAAACGACAGGAGCGGCGAGCCAAAGTAGCTCAAAAGAGGCTCGAACAGCTCATAAGTAGCAACAAGTTGAGTTGCAAGATTATGAAGAAGTAGAAGATCTATTATATGGATTCGGAATAGCAGATTAATAAGCAGACTAGTAAGTATTAGTACAGATTTGTAAGTATCCGAAAACAGTTACTTTTCCATATACAAATCTTTAAACGCGTTTTTCTCAAAACCAAGTTTTTCAAATTGGCGTGCAGCATAACTCAAAAAATGTTCAACTATTCGATAGTGCATATATATAGATAACTAAATTCCCCTCTAGACAAACCTACTTGTTTGATAATATTATTCAATTAAATAATTATTATTGCATAATTAATGCGAAAATTTTTGATAAAAATTACAATATTTTTTAAGTCCCATAATTTTTCTAATTTTGCATTTTTTACTTCACAAATAGATTTGTCCATAGCAAAATCTTATAATGAAACTAATATATTTTTTATTTTGTTCCAGATGAATATAACAAACGCTACATTGCACGCCAATCGCAATGTCTGACGCCGAGACTTTAGAGAATCGTTTGTATACTTAGCAATATATGCACTATTTTACAACAAAAAATTTTTTTATATTTAGAAATGTATTTTTAGAATATACTAAAGTTTCAAAAAATTTCATTGAACTGTTTTGTTTAAAAAAATTCTCAAAAATCACTTTCTCTTCTGCGTGTTATATAAAGTTCTCCTCCTTAACGTGTGAGAACGCAAATAAAAAGAAATATGTGTCATTTATTTTTGTCCATATTTTGATATATTCGAAATTCATTAAAATCGGGGGAGGGCAGTTGTGTACCTTTCCTTGTCTTTCGTATGTATATAAATGTAAAATATTTCATCTTGCATCTATGCTTTTCTTATAATGTATTCTCTTTTTGATCTCGTTTCTGTTATATGTGATCCTGCTATCGCTAAGGGTTGCACTCTTAGTTTATACCCAAATAATTCTTGCATAATCTATAAAGCAAGTATATAAAAAAATAATAATAAGGAATAAGATTCAATTTGTATAACAGAAAGACCGACAGATGGTCATACCAAGATCACACTGAAATAATTAAGTTTTTTATGTGAATAAATACATTTATTATAAATACATTTTATAATTCTTCGAACTGTGCGCCATTATTTTCGGTCTCGGAAGATTAGAAAAAATATTTTTAAAAAATCACACGAGATATATTATTTCAGTACTAAGATTTTGCTATGACCATCTATTGACCTTTCTTATACAATTTCTATATAAATGAAATTGTATATAAGTTATACATATAAAATCATAGTAAATTACACTTACACTTATACTCACTTACTCATACCACGCGCGCGCACACAATTATTTTTTAAAAAAAGTTTGAAAAATATGCTATTTTTAAATATTCTCATTCCTTGGGATTATTTCCAGTTTTCTTATTGTGTATTACAGATTTATACGTTCGTTTTAGAGTAAATGTGTTGTAATTTTGTTGAGCATTTAATGCCTGTTATGTTATATCTTTTCTTTTGCATCCTATCAGCAATTTTTTCCCAATATTTTTTTACCGTACCTTTTCCATCATGAAATTTGTCTTTGTATTCCTCGTAAATATTTAATAATAACAAAGTTTCTTCTTTGGTCCAAAGATGTATCTGTAGCAAATAAAGAAGTACAGTTTTTGAAATATTTGATATGCAAATCTGTAAGTACATCTATCTTTATATGAATAATGATTTCAGATTATGAACGTAGTCAGTTTTTACCTTCCGTGCATTCGTCGGTACCTAGCAGTTGCTCCTAGCAAAACTGATACTTGCTAAAATAGATAAAATCATTTAGTAAATTTATATTTTTTATTCATTTTTATATAAATCAGTAAATATTTAATTTACCTTCCATGCATTTGTCAGTACTACATTCGTCTATATACTTAGCAAAATTGATGTTTGCTGAAACAGACAATATCATTTAATATGAATTGATATTTTTCATTTTTATCTATATTTATATCAATATTTACATTTATTCATACCTTGCTATGCATTTATATCCAAAATGTTACGCACGTACGTTAATAATAATTTTTGGCATTTTGCAATAATAAAGTTGTAAAATTTATATCTGTAAAAAAGAAGTCAAAATAGTTGGTTGTTGTTTAGAAAATATCGATAAAAATATATTTATTCGATGCGTTTGCAATGCGTTACAAAGCGACAGAATTTGGCTGAAACAAAGCACACACTTTGTCTCGCAAAGCAAATTATTAAGCGTTAAGGAGATGCTAAACTTGTCTGCATTACCGACAAAACACAATAATTTTTGTATCGCTCTCATTTTTTATTAACTTTATAGATCTGGAAATCCTTTTCCACAATTAAAGTTTATGCATTAATTAACGTGCTTAGCATATAAATTTGATACCAAAAACGAGAGAAATTTTAATAATTTAGATCTTTTTTATCATTTCCTACCATCGAGAGCTGTCACTTGATGAAATGATGATATGTGCTTAATATAAAAGTTCTGCAGTCTATATTTACACGGTTACTATTGCTAGATTACTAGCTTATAGGAAGAGACGACGTAGAGTTCTTATAATCAGGCTTAGACACTTATTACGAATAGGGAAGTATCACAAAAATTCGTTTATATGTGTATGTGCGAGATGGATATAGTAGCTGTCAAAAGCAAAAAATTAGTCGACGAATAATAGGTAGAGGACATTGTAACGTGTCGCAAGCGCGCACAAGAAATGCGTTCACAAAATACATAAAATATGTAATACACACAAAAGAAAAGAATAGAAATATTATCCTACTCTCGCGCTCGACGAACCGTGAGAAAAGAATAGAAATACTGTCCTACTCTCTCGCGCTCAATGCGCCGTAAGAAGAGAATAGAAATACTATCGTACTCTCTCGTCCACGCTGCGCTGGTCAAGCGTCTCCGATGTTTCTGGTTACCGCTGACTATTGTTGACATGTAGCGTATGAATTGAAAAAAATAAGCAGATATTAATAATGTGAACGAAAACGGAAATCGTTACAAATGATGATTGTACTTTACATATAATATTTATTATAATAAGCGATTATATAATTTTATCTATATAAATTTTAAATAATGTAATATATGAAAATGTATAAAATTATTTTATAATATATTTTCTGTTATTTTCTTAAAAATTCAAAGTTTGCTATGTTTTGAGTAATTAATAAATTAATTAATAATGTGATATTAATAATGTAATGTGAACCAAAAAGGGAAATCGTTACATATGATCATTGTACTTTACATATAATATTTATTATAATAGTATGAGTCACTAAATGGAAAACTCTATAAATTGGGAGAATTATGTAATTGAATGTTTTGAATAAATTTTAAAATTGTGATAATCAATTTTTTGAACTTGGGAACTAGGTTATATATTTTACAAATGAGCGTTAAGATGTTCAATTCTCATTCGATTCTTTTTCTTTTGTTATTAACATACTGTAACAACAATGGAAAATATTCTTTCTGCATTGGAATGTGGACGTAAAAGAGCTGTATGTATAAATATTTTTAAAATAGGAAATAGGCTGGTTCGCCATTATCTTGTGTTTCCAAAAGAATCTCATACTAATTAAAATAAAAAATTGATGAACTGAGTTAGAACAACGATGTATTAAAAGTATAAAACTTGGGCTCTGTATTTAATATGCGCCACAAATCTTTGAAATATATGTTTCATTTAATTATATTATTTTCTAACTTAAAAAAGAATAATATTAATTATTATTAATTATGCAGAACATTATTATTTTAATGTTGCTACTTATTTAGCTAATGTTGCTAATTATTTTATTGTTGGCATTACGGGGCGCGTCGATCGAGGTTGCATGAATAATACAGTAGAAGTAAAAAGCGCTTCTCAAAAAAATAAAAAAAAGGGGAGCAGAATTTCGAAGGAAAGGAGAAAAGATAACCAAGAGAAAGCGTAAAGAGAGAGATACAACGGAGAGGCAAGAAATCTTATGAAGGAATTATAGAAAAAGAGGTAAGGAGGAGTATATAATATAAAGGAGGAGTATATAATATAAAGTTATATCCACGTCATTACGTGGACAAGATAGCAGAGAAGGTAAGGCATTTAGTAATTCTTACCTGCTTAGAAGATTAAGATTGATAAAGTAGGAAGGAACTGACAGCGGTAAACAGAGGTAGGAAAAATAGATTGATCGATAAATCAGGAAACGATAATGAATAGCATGAACGAACAGAGGACAACACAGGAAGAGAGAACGTCGAGGGAGAAAAGAGAAGGAAACAAAAAAGGAAAAACAATTTTAGACCACCTAATACCAAGGTCGAGAGCGGAAAGTAAGAAGTCGATCGATATTTTAAACAAAAGAAGAAGAAACAAAGAGGAAGATAGAATCGAAGCGAAAAGGGAGTTTTTAAGAAAATTCGAAAAAGCAAGGAAAATCACCATCAGGAAGAAAAACACATTATAAGGAAGAAAAAGAATCGATGACGGAAATAGAGGGAGATGCAAAAGAAGAACAGAAATATGATGGAAGAATACATAAGAACAATAAACAAATTTATGAAAGACATCAGAGAAAAATTGAAAAATGCAATAGGAGAAATAAAAGCAATCAAAGATGAATAAAGAAAGAAGAGGAAAAGTGGGAAAGAAGGATCAAGGAAGCAGAGGACAAGATAAAAAATTTGGATTAGGAAATAGAGAAAATAAAGATTTACGGAAAAAATTAGGAAATTAGAAGAATTAGAAAAGACAAGAGAGAGAAGAGAAAGAAGAAATAATATTGTAATAAAAAGATGGGAGGTGCCAAAAAGAGAATCATTAGAAGCAGCGGTGAAAGAAATGTTAAAGAATGAACGTCGACGCGATTGTAGAAGATGCATACTGGACGAGAAAAGGGATAAACATGATAACAGTAAAAATTAAAGGCAAGGACTAGAAAAAAGAAATTATGATAAAGGAAAAGAATCTAAAAGATAAGAATATATTCATAGATAATGATTTAACTTGGAAGGAGAGACAGATGCAGAAGGAAATACGCATGATAACGGAAGCAGAAAAAGAGACGGGAGCCAAAGTGAAGATCAGTTATAGGAAGCTGCAAATTAATGAAAAGAAGTTTATATGGAAAGGGGAGGAGAGGTTAAAAGAGCAAAATTTTTGGAGCAGACAGAGCTCCGTAGGCTCATAGATAGTGAGCAGACGGAGGGAAAGAACCATTCCGCCGGGATCTGCGAGAGCAAACCGCGGAGGAGGGTGGAGCAGAAAAAAGAAAGCAGAGAAGCAGAAGAGGGACAAAACACAAGGGCTGGGACACAAAAATATAGGAAAGGAATACAAAAAAAGAAGATGAAAATAAAGGAAATAAAAATGTAGAAATAGGTATAGAAACAAGAAAATTTAAAATTGGCTTCTGGAATGTTGCAGGATTAGACAACAAAGACGCGCAATTTTGAGAATATATCAAAAAGTTCGACATAATCGGAATGGTCGAAACGTGGATAGAAGAAAAAATTAAAGTTGGAATAAATTAAAAGAACGTATGCCGGAGAATTTTAATTGGAGTATACAACACGCTAAGAGAGAGAAGAATAAAGGGAGAACGATAGAAGGAATCATCATAGGAATAAAGAAGAATATCGAAGAGAAGAACAGGACAGAAACAAAAGAAAAAAAGAACTGAAAGAGTATACGTAAGGAGAGTAATTATAGGAAAAATAAATGGAAAATAATAACAGTATATAATAATCAAGGAATAACCGAATTTATGAGAAATCAAAGTTTTAATATTTAAAGATAATGAAGGAAATCTTTTACTAGGAGGTTTCAATGTCAGAATAGGAAAAGAAGGAACGCTTATTTGGGGAGATGACAGAGACGAGATGGGCAGAAAATCAACGGACAAGACGTTAAACGTCGAGGGTAAGAAATTTCTAGAAGAGGTAGAAGAGAAGGGATGGGACATTCTGAACGATAATATAACTGGAGATGAAGAAGGAGAATTTACATACGTAGGTGCAGGAAACAGCTCAGTAATTGAGTATGCGAAACATCGAGACAAGAGAAAAGATTGAGAAACTGGTAGTTGAAGAGAGAACAGAATCAGACCAATTGTGCATATATACAGGCAGAAGATAAAATACGCGCTCGGGATACAGGCCAAAAAGACAGGGGCATAAACTTTAAATAACAAATATGGACAAAAGGAATTGTGAAGTTTAGGGAAATTTTAAGATCTCGGAAATTTAAGGAAACAAACCTGGAAGCATGGATGGAGCTAAAAGAAAGGATAAAAGCAGCTGGAGAAAGAAATATTTATTAAAAAAAGAACTCTAGATGAAAAAAAGTGATGGAATACCATTGGAAGAATGCAAAGAGAAAAGAGAGAATTCAAGAGATTTCTTAGAAGAGCAAAGAAGAACAAAAAGCTATTAGAAGAATATAGATATCATAGACAACAATACCAGAATTTCTGTAAGAATAGGAAAGAAAAATTTAGAAAAAAAAAGAAAAAATAAGGAAAATCAGTACAGAAACAGAAGCATAGAAATATATAAACATGGAAAGAAAAAAAGAAAAAAACATATCAACGAATTACAAAAGATGATGGAGACAACATTTTATGGGATTTCTCCTATGGGAGGAACAGAGGAAAGAAAAACGGTAACAAAAAAGAAAGAACAAATATTAGATGTA